AGGTAGATTGTGTTGTAAAGAAAATCTAGCTACTACACACTGGGACGGACCCTGTACCTTTATCCCGCGCGAGGCTGGGGAGAGGGGTGTTTGAACGTTTCTTATAGGTATCTTGGTCTGAACACCCCGCCCCCTTGAGGTTTTCGCAGATATTTCAGTGCGGGGTTTTCCGTAGATGTTGTAAAAATTTCGCACCCAAGTCGCTTTAAAGGGACCCTCCCACCTTCAAAAAAGTTAATGAACTGGCATGAAAGTGATGTCCCTTGGTTCAGAAAGAGCGAAAACGAATATCTACCAAATTTCACCGAAAAATATTCACTGGTTTTCAAGATATTAGGCTTTTACTTTTGTTTACTTTTTGGGATCTCCCCTGTTACTAGCGACTTTATTTGGAAGCAATAATTTGGCAGCCCTAAAGTGCGGCAGACGTTGCGCGCAAAGCAGCGTATACCACCACGTGTTAACGATGGTTTTAGTCTAAGATTTAAAAATCGTTAGATCTCCGCTGACGTCACAAATTCTAAGGGGGCATTCCAATGCATTAGCCCCTTAGAATCCGAAAACTGCAAGTTTGAAATTCCATATCTTCGAATTAAAGCATTTTTCGATGTTGTGAGTGTCCAAACCGGTATTTGCAGGTCATGGCCACCAATTTGGCTATCTCAACTCAAAACTAATGTTAAGGTGGGAGGGTCCCTTTAAGGGAACCTCCCACCTTAATGCTATCGCATGCTTTTGATCCTCCAGGCTCCAATTCTGGAAAAAGTTAATGAATTGACATGAAAGTGATGTCGCTCAGTTCATAAAGAGCGAAAACGAATATCTACCAACTTTCATCGAACAATATTCACCGGTTTTCAAGATATTACACTTTTACTTTTGTTTACTTTTTGGATCTCCGCTGTTCCTAGCGACTTTATTTGAAAGTGCGGCACATGTTGCGCGCAAAGCAGCATAAACGCAACCGAAGTCGTGACGTCACGATAAGTGGCTGGGGCATAATCAGCTGACGGCCCCGTGCTAAAGCAATGGGGCAATATTTTGCCGATCTTTCCCAAGAAAACTGGACCTAGTTAGATAGTTTTAGTAGCTGAATTTAGGACAACGATGTATGATCTATTTTTCTATGAAAAAATATTGCAAATTCTAACAACGCAAAGCACAAAATTTCGTGAAAACCTAATTGGCGGCGAAGTTGACGCAGAAATACAAAACATTTTATATCAAGAGGTTTAAAATAATGGATTTAAAATAAAAAAGATTTTCAAAATAACTTATATGGTGAATTTTCTCCTTTGCTTTTTACAAATAAAAAATATTTATCCAGCTCAAACTCAAATATGTCAAACCTTACGCATCAAAATCCTCCCGACGCGATCACAGTTCGCATCTCAAGGTCATGTATTTTGTGCGTCAAGTTCGCCGCCCGTAACAATTTCGCGAAATTCGGTCCTTTCCGCTTTGAAATATAGCATTTTTTGGGCGTAGAAAAATAGAATATACTCAGTTTACCTAGAAACTGGCCCCCAAACTATCTAACTAGGTCCAGTTTGTTCTAAAAATGCTGATAAAATTTCGTCCCATTGCTTTAACACAGGGCCGTCAGCTGATTATGCCCCAGCCACTAGTCATGACGTCACACTTCGGTTGCGTATACCACCGCGTGCTACCAAACGTTTTAGTAAAAGATTTAAAATCGTTAGATCTGCGCTGACGTCACACATTCAGAGGGGGCATTCTAATGCATTAGCCCCTCTGAATCCAAGTACTGCAACTTTGAAATAAGATATTTTCGATTTGAGGCATTTCTCGATCTTGTGAGTGCTCAAACCGGTAAGTGCAAAAGCCAGGGAACCCATTTTGGCTATCTCAACTAAAAACTTATGTTAAGGTGAGATGGCCATTAGGTCAGTCAAGTGACCTCACCTCATAGAAAAGCATGAATGCTTGTCATAGCCACACCGACTGGACGATCACCTTTACACTTTCAGCGATTGATAAGAGTAACAATATGCAATTGTATAACATGTATATCTAAGAATTTCTATATTGGTGACCAAATGTCAAGTCAATTTTGCGCCCTCTCCATTATACTGCCGTGCCTTTTGTCATCAAGCTGAAGAATATAATGCCAAGAAAATAGTGCCGGTTTTACGTTAGGTCAGAAGTTATTACGTCAGGCCAGAGGTCACCCGAACATGATCGTTTTGTCTTTGCACGGCAATAAAAGCCAATGGGAAAGAATTGAAAGGCGTCCGTTTCGGACGAACGCCATTCTTAACACTCCAAAAACATCAAAATATAGTTTGACTGGCCACACTGACAAGGAAAATTGCACATGCAACCCCTCCTTCTGTCCTCGAGGTCATCTCAGGTCATGAAAGGTTCTTATCAGTTTTTTTTTTGGCACTAGCTTTTGACAGACATGTTAGAGCGATGAAAACACCTTAAATGTGTCCAGATCGACCATACGAAATGACTGGCATGCTACATGACCTTTTCGGTCAGGTCATGACCTTGAGGGACCCTCCCACCTTAACATTAGATTTGAGTTGAAATAGCCAAAATGGGGTCCCTGGCTCACAATTACCGGTTTCGGCACTTACAACATCGAGAAATGCCTTAAATCGGAAATATTGAATTTCAAAATTGCAGCATTTTGATTCAGAGGGGCTAATGCATAGGTATACCCCTCTGAATGTGTGACGTCAGCGCAGATATCTAACGATTTTTAATGTTTGACTAAAACGTTTTGTAGCACGCGGTGGTATATGCTGCTTAGCGCGCAACAAATGCCGCACTTTCAAATAAAGTCGCTAGGAACAGCGGAGATCCCAAAAAGTAAACAAAAGTAAAAGTCTAATATCTTGAAAACCGGTGAATATTTTTCGATGAAATTTGGTAGATATTCGTTTTTGCTCTTTCTGAACCGAGCGACATCACTTTCATGCCAATTCATTAACTTTTTTGAAGGTGGGAGGGTCCCTTTAAGTCAATTGTTGAAAATGATCTTTCAATGTCAACATATATTTCATTCGACGCGTCTCGACGAGAGGAACACGACGCTGGCAAAATGAATGCCGTACTCTAAGTCAAATCTTATTTTTTTAAAACCTTTTTTGTAACATGGCTACTTTTAGAGTTTTTGCCCTCTGGAGGCTAAGCCGTTGGTCCTTATGTCAAATCTGACAGCTGACTCCAAAAAGGGCGTTGAGAGGGCTATTGAATGCACTGTAACTCTATTGGTTCCCGAGTTATGCGCAGGTTTTTCGAAAAATGGTGACCGAAGTACTTTTGTCAATGATTTTGATGTTTTTTTCTCTTTTGATTACCGCTTAACACGTGTCGTTACGTGGCCCAGGAGCCGAGTTAGACGGGGGCTGTTCAGACCCCCCCCCCGCCCGGCGAGGTTGGCGACGAGCACCAGCCCAGCGGGTTATGAAGTCCTCCAGTCTCACTTAAGATCTTTCAGACACTGAGACAGAAAAGATACATCTTGCAAATGACCTTTAAGAGCCCTATCAGTTTACTAAATAAGCAGTAGGTAACTATGCATTATCTTATATCTTAGCTTAGACCCATGGGTTGTAATTAGTCAACACCTTTCAATCTTATGCTGTGCAGTGTGAAATGAGATTCTAAATCGCTACCTAGTACCACTACCAATAGACATCGATCTAAAACAGGCACCACACTCTCCAAATCACTGGGCCACCCAGAAGTGTGGAAACTACTTAAGCAACTGTCTTCCATTCTAGTTCGCGATTCCCATCAAACCACAGGACCCGACCATATAACAACAGTATAGTGTCCTCCTTGGCAAAACACAGATGGTCTGGTCTGAGCTCTAGCCCCAGCTACAAATTACTAAAGGTCTGAGGGAATATCAGATGATGATGCCTGTGATCAGACACTTATGACCATTGACCACTAGAACTTTTGTCAACTGCAAGTCATACACCAAGACAGATTTAAGACATGCTGACATAATGATACAAAAATCAATCTTCTGCTATAAACATTCACATGAGTTATAGAATCAGACATCTCAGGTGAACCCAGGTGAGCTGCACTTGACTCAGACTATTTAAACATGGTGAGGGAAAATGGGAATAGGGTGTAATGAGTAATGACCACCAGACCACCTACCAAAAAAGGTAAATAAAAATGTAACTAACAGATAGAATGGCACAACAAAAGCTATGAAGCTCTCATGCTGTCATTTAAAGCTATATACCATGGTTAAGAGAGCAAAAAAGTAATATCTACCAAATTTGACTGAAAAATATTCACCAGTTTTTTAGATATTAGACTTTTATTTTTGTTTATTTTTTGGGGGTACTGTCTCTATGACATCACTTGGAAGCAATAATTTGGTATTTTAAATGTGTGACATATGTTGCACACAAAACCGCATACATCACCAGAATTTACCAAAGTTCTAATATGACTTAAAGATTGCTAGACCTGAGCTGACAGCACAAAGTCAGAGAGGCAGAGGCATCCAAATACATTAACTTCTCTGAATCTAAGTGTTGCAACTTTGAAATAAATTATTTTTAATCTAAGGCATTTCTTAATGTTGAGTGACAAAACCAGTGATTTTGAGCAAGAGACTTAAATTCAGCAATATCAAATCAAATGTAATATTAGATCTGATTGAGGATCAGCTATATCACATAATCTGTCTATATCAATAACACAAAGAAAAAGCTCGGAAGGATCAGCCAAGGAATAGGTAATAGGAATTTTAAACTTACAGCAAAAAATGCTGGCACCTTGCTCAATTCAAACTTGCAGTCTCCTGAGTAACAAAAAAGTGCTAAAAAGCAGGCCGATTGCGTAACATGCGCCATTGCCGGATACTTGAGTAGAGTACTTGAGTAGAGACCCATTGTATCACATCAGCGTATATCCCAATCCAGATTCCATCATACATATTCAAACATAAAAATCACAGCATAAAAACAAACATCCAGAGCACAGTAAACATAACTCACCTGCAAAAGGTGCTTTTCTATCGTCTGGACGATCACCGGCGCATTTGCCTCATTTTCTTCAGCGAGGAGGGTAAGCATGTTGATCAGGGGCTTACAATTGACTGAAAGATCTTTAAGAGAAGAAAGGTATTCTTTTTCCACTTCTTCAGCCATGGTCTTCTTAGAAGACGCTTCCGAAACAAATTAACAAGGGAAAAGAAAACCTGGCATATGGAGAGCTGGAGCCGACCCGACCTACGAATCAGTCGATAAGGACTATGTCAATGTATTCATTTCTGGCAGTTAAAGGAAAGGTAAGGAAACTTAAATTCGTGGTTTTGATAGAACGGACACAGGATATTCACTCTTAAATAATCATAAGATACCACAACACCGGAAATACACCACGGCGACACGTATCAGCTCCCCGTCGTTTACGCCACAGCGCACGCGCAAAGAATGAGCGCCCTCTATTTCACAACTTTGAAATTGAGTACTTATCCCACCTCTATCACTTTCACATTCATCCAAATCTTTTCACCGTTGCAATCAAAATAATTGATTTGTATTGTTTAACTCCAATAATCAAAGAGCAATTGATGGAAAAAAAAAAACCAAATTTTCACAATCGGTGCCTTAGAAGCGCAGGTGTTGCTATAAATACTTAGTTTTCCCAGCACTACTCTATTCAAGTACCACTACTCTGTCGCATAGAAGCATTCCGTTACTATTTTTTTGGTGTTGGTACAAAGGTGAACTCACTTTGTAGTTTTTAATCAATAAAACGGCAGTTTACAGTAAATTCATTTCGCGCTGTATATCTTTCTCACCAGAAACGCTTCGCGTCCAACGCCGTATACAGGCTTGTGGCGATCGTCAATCCACCAAAACTCTCATTCGGCCATGCTTATGCTGCCAGTGCAAAACACATTCCGAAAAAAATGCATCCAGTATCCATTGCAATCAACACGTGCGAGTGTATGCCTAACTTAACCCTAGTAATCAATGGTCCTAGAGTGGAAGGGGGTCGGCTCAAGGCCGATGCTTTCCCAAGAACATCTTGTACAGCATGCCTACATAATGCCCTCATGGCTATCCGCCCCCTTCCATGGGCGTTGATTCTCTTATTTTTTTTCCGTAGATTTTCCCTGCTCAAGGTGCTGCGTGGATAAACATGCAGCAGTGTTGGAGCAGGGGCCATCTAAACTGACACATGACACCAAAGCGAGCTTTCAGTCCCCCCCCCCCCCCCCCCGAGGATTTTGGTTGTGAAATGTGATTGTCCACTGATCGTACGGCGATTATCTCCATCAAACAACGTGCACAGTTTAATATGTATATGCATGGAAATGAATGAGCGTGGTTAGATGAGTATGGCTAAATGCAGCCGACAGTGGGGACACAGCACGGGTGGCTGCGCTGCCACTGCCCGGCCAATTGAGTTCATGGTTACGACGGAAAGCGTCCCGCACAGAGCGGCCCACATATTGATACCGCAGCGTCGAGCTGGTCCCGACCTCGACCGGCCCGCAGCTGCCCTTCAACGCACCACGTGCAGCAGCTCTCATCTCAAACACATCGCCCCCCTCCAACTGCCCCCCCCCCCACATTCGCAACAGGACGTTCGCAAAAGCAAGTCAACCAAACAAATGGCAAATATAACATGGTAACCTATAACTGAGGCGAGTGGCCGATGTCCCCTGACTCTACACACATAAATTACTAGTCATACGGATGCACATACCCCAGCGGTGGTGTCCGGCTAACTCGCTAATGTCTTTGAATGCTTTTGAAGGATGACTGCGACTCTCGTACACTCTGTTTCGGGAGTTCACTGAACACTGTGGGGAGGAATGCATTACCCTCCGACTGGACCACGAGTCCCGATCACACTCGGCCATTAATACTCGCCGACCGGCTCACGGCGGCCCTCGTGGACACGTACCAATAGGTCGGCGTACACTACACACACACACACACACACCCGCCCCGAGGAGCCGCACCTCGGGACGCCTCGCGCCATGAAAGCACCAAAAGCTAGTATCAAAACGTCCCGCGCACGCGCGTGCCTCCACACCATCACAGGTACGCCGATGACTACATGAGAAAGCAGGCTCCAGGTGCGCGCGGCGCGGCGCGGCGGCTGCCGGGCCGTGCCGGGCCGTTATGGAACGTTTGGCTGGTCGGTAATACTGGTGGCGGCGGCCGTCCGCGGGCTCGGCGGTCCCGCGGCCGGCGGCGGCCGCTGTCACACGCAGTCGGCGCGCAGGTACGACTCGCGGCCGTCCGGCGGCGCGCGCAGGCTGCCGTTGCGCCGCGCCAGCGTGCCGGGCCGCAGCAGCGACTCGGCCTCCGACTGGACGCTGGGCGTGGGCGAGACGGCCGGCCGGGCCAGGCCCTCCACGGAGTGGTACAGCGCCGTGTAGTCGTCCTGTCAGGGGAGGGGGGGGGGGGTCAGACACTAGTATTAACAAACAAATCGAGACTGGAGAGCTCAGTCACACGAAGTCACTACGTCCTGTCATCGCTGGTCACCGGTCAATCGTATGACTTCTCCCTTCACCAACCGCAGATATATATGTCGCACACCACCGGCCGGAGCCGTGCACCGGCCGGAGCCGTGCACGGTGCGACCAGTCACCCCAGCACACCCCTCACCTGTGTCTGCCAGACGCCGGGCCGCCGCATGTGGTACAGCTTGGCGCACATGTACACGTCCACGGCGCCGTCGTCGCGCAGCTGTTTGGAGAGGGTGGTGAGGCAGCAGAAGGTGGCCGCCTCGGTGCCGCCGTACCTGGACGTGACAGGCGCGGAGGGACACACCGTCAGATCGCTGAGTAGAGAGACGCGGAGAGCTCTCCAAGGCATAAGGACACTTACCTTTTAAAATTGAATCTATTGGAACAGATATCAAACACTGTATGCTGTCCCGTAAAAAAAAAAAACTTGACTAGACGCAGCATGAGACAAAACAGTTCATCCAGGACGTCGGGTTTGATTTTCGCTCCACAATTAAACCAAACACTGTTAAAAGTGTACACAGGTATGGGTGTAAACTGCAAATAAATAGCAATAAACGCCGACTCTGTTCAGACACGCATCCTGTCTGATGCCGCTGACGTTCTGTTAGCGGCGCTGGCGCGGCGCCCCTCACCTGTCGACCACCAGCAGCGGCCCGTCCTGGTATTTGAGAGTGGCGCGCTGCACCCGGTCTATGAGCCGGTGCGCCGGCTCGGAGACGTGCGGCCAGCCGGGACAGCCGAGCACCCGCACCGACACCTGGTAGTCGTCCTGCGTGGACTGCAGCTGCAGCTCGACCGTGTAGCCGACCGCTGACGGCCGATGCTCCACCAGACGCACCCGGAAACTCTCACTGTCAATGTCCTCGTGCAGCGTCGGCCAGAACGGCGGGTACTCCTGCGTACAGGGGGCGGGGGGGGGGGGGGGCATAGATCAGCCTGTTGGAGACATCCGGAGGCATTCAAATCCAATGAGTATCTCGGCATACACCAACAGCTGCTCCTGGTCAACCACTGACCAGTTTACTAAATTACGGGCTGCATAAAATATTAGCAGCCTGGGCCTTGAACACTCATCAGGCAATCGGCGGACTGAATCAGTCCATATTGGCCTGCCACTCAGTGACTGTAGGCAGTAGCTCACTGTGAGCAGTGCGGACTCTCACTACGCTCTCACTAAGCGCGCTCTCACCTCGTCGTCGGCGGGTGTGAGCACCACCACGGTCTGCACGTTGTGGTCCCACACCATCCGCCAAAAGTCCTCCACCGTGTGCGTCAGCGGGTGCTGCGTGATGATAAACTCACGCAGCCGCTCGTAGCCTGAGGGCGCGCGGACACGGTGTGACTTAACCGGTAATGACCCGACTAACGTGCAATGTCGGTGGTACCCTGTCCGTAGTTCCGCGTTTAAGCGCACATGATGCGTTCTCTGGCACTGAGATTTCCAGACTGATGCTAAAGATATCGCAAAGAAAATGGAATGAAGACGATTGACATTGGAAACATAAGCTTCTAGCTGGAATTAATAATGAGTTCATTTGAAACAAACCGACAAAGACTTCAGTCGCTATCATACAAATGGCGACTGGATATTGTGTGCGCCGCGCGCCCTATAGGGATCCACACAGGCCGGATCCAGAAACGGCTACTTTCGGGGTCCGGGCCGCAACGCTCTCCCTCTGTGGGCAGCGAGCCCCGTGCCCCACACTCCCGGACTCCCGGCGGGAGCTCCTCCGCCCCGTCCCGGACCTATGAGCGCCGTGGCGTTGATGTAGTCGCTGCCCTCGACGCCGGGTCGCGGCGACAGGTGGACGCGCCACCGCTCGGACGGCACAAACTGCCGGCTGCGGTTCTTGGCCTGGTTGTAGGAGGCCAGCGCGGCGGCCAGCTCGTACTCGTCCGCCTGGTACTGCGTTATCAGCTGCCGGAGCGGGACGGAGACGGTTAGGGACCGGCGGGGTGAGAAAATCCTCCTAATGATGCTTGCTGTATTAGCTGAGCGGCAAGTCTTTCACCTACGCTGGGTAGGTTAAATAAAAAAAAAGATCGAAAGCGCAAACGTGACCAGACCAACGCCAAGAAGTCGCACCATACACTGGCATCGCCAAGACAGCAGTCCTGCTTTACAAGTGTAACAACAGAGACCCCAGTCGGTGAACTGAACACTTGAGTCGTCTCGTTCAGGAGGCGTCACTGAAAGCATCACCTTCCCCGGGGTCCGCCGGTTGACCTACCAGGCCCTCCCCTGTCTGTCGAGCGTGTGGCACAGCTAGACGGACACGTGTGTTCCCCTCCCGGCCTCACCTGGTACTGTCTGTCCAGCGTGTGGCACGGGTAGACGGACACGTCTGTTCCCCTTCCTCACCTGATACTGTCTGTCGAGTGTGTGGCACGGGCAGACGCTGTCCCCCCCCCCCCCCCTCACCTGATACTGTCTGTCTAGCGTGTGGCACGGATAGACGGACACGTCTGTTCCCCTTCCTCACCTGATACTGTCTGTCGAGTGTGTGGCACGGGTAGACGGACACGTCTTCCCCCCCCCCCCTCACATGATACTGTCTGTCGAGTGTGTGACACGGGTAGACGGACACGTCTGTTCCCCTCCCTCACCTGATACTGTCTGTCGAGTGTGTGGCACGGGCAGACGCTGTCCCCCCCCCCCCTCACCTGATACTGTCTGTCGAGTGTGTGGCACGGGTAGACGGACACGTCTGTTCCCCTGCCCTCACCTGATACTGTCTGTCCAGCGTGTGGCACGGGTAGACGGACACGTCCGCGGACCGCAGCCGCTCCAGGTACTCCGGCAGCCGCTCGGCGCGGACCTCCGTGTCCCCGGAGTCGAGCGCCTCCAGCAGCGCGTCGTGGATGAACACATACTGGTCCTCGGTCTGCACCAGGAAGTTGCGCTGCGTGCGGATGTGTTTGAGGAAGCCGAACACGTTGACGGAGCCCCGCTGCTGCAGCATGTTCATCATGGCGTCCAGCACGATGTAGGTGCCCGTCCGGCCCACGCCGGCGCTGAGAGGAGGAGGGGGGGGGGGGGTCAGCTCGGGGGAGAGGTGTCAGCTCAGGGGGCTGAATCGAGAGGGGTCGGAGAGCATCTGCGGAGCTGCCTGGGTCGCGGGATTCGGCTTAGGACCAGTCTGGCAATGGCAGACCAATCCCTAGCGCCGGATGTTCCGGACTACTAATTTACATCTCTAATAGAAGCCCGCAGAAGCCGTCAGTGCCCGGCCACTTATCCACTTAGCCCCATTAGGACTAGTTCCGACCAATAACGGTATCAATGGCCGACAGAGCTGCAGAAACTGCCGTACGGTCTGTCCACAGCAACCGGCTCAAATCCGCTCTAACACATTCTTAGGCCACGTCTGAGCCGTCTTTTAACTTCAATTTTAACCTTAAACTGACCTGGTCATGACCCAGTACCAGCCCGGGCCCCTTGACTGAAGTGCAGTGGATCAGGATGGGCCCGGCGCCGTCCCGTGTCTCTCAGTGCCCCTAACTGACCTGCAGTGGACCAGAATGGGCCCGGCGCCGTCGCCGTTGGCGGCCGCCGACTTTCTGACGAAGCTGAGGATGGGCAGCGGGTGGTCGGGCACGCCGTGGTCCGGCCAGTTGGTGTAGTGGTACTGGTACACGGTGCGCTCCACGGGACGACCCTTCTGCGGACGGCGGCGGCGGACGGCGGTTAGAGGGGGCGTGACTGGGAGGTCAGTGTGATTAAACTGACCAATGGTGGCAGGGTATTATTGTCAGCATCCGACCATCGGGGCAGAGCAACCAATGTTTCTAGAGTTATCGTACCCTAAAGGAAGTCCCACCACCACCATTGAGTTAGGGCATGTAACGTACGTACGCTCCGCTAACGAAAGCGTAATGATGTCACCCTCTCATTTGCTCCATCCATACGAACGGTTAGGAATGCACCTTGACAACATCAGACCAAGCACAAGCCCGATATCAACGGGTTTTGCCATGTCTACAGTAATTACTCACTTCAGGGCAGTAGAACCATTTTACAGCGCAATAAACCACAATCTACACCAAACATGAGCAGACATTCTAACCATAAACGGCCGGCCCCGCACGGAGGCGCGCCCCGCGGCGTTTACGCCGGTCCGTCCGCTAGGTCTGCCGCCGCCCGCCGCAGCCCCAGCGTCCGCTGCCGGTCAGCCGCGGCCCTCAGAGTCAGCCCACCTTGGAGTGCCGGATGAGCAGCTTGCGGACCGTGTAGGTGGCCAGCTCCCGCTCGTCCAGCAGCACCACCTGAATCAGCCCGTACGTCTCCGAGCCCTCCTTCGGCCAGTACATGTCGCACTTTTTCTGCGGAAACACCGACACTCGTGTCAGTCAGTGTCAGAGAATAGGTGACTTGGTCAATACGCGCGTCGGGTTACCTAAGCTGACGGCGGTTCTATCTGAATACGATTATATATAGACTACAGAATGTCAAGCAGATGAAACGGCATGCGGCAATTTTGAGGAGAAATCACGTCAACACTCGGAAGGTTTACGAATGCTTGGCAATCATTTCAGTCAGGATTTGTTAAAAAAAAACCCTGAAGCAAATGCAGTCACAACGAAATGGCGTTAAAAAGAAAGCTAGCAACTCCCCGCCCCGTATAAGATCAGCGCACTCCCGCGCTGACCGCCCTGTCCGAACCCCCCCCCCCCCCCCCCCCCCCCACCCCCCTCGTCAGACTCACCCTGCTGCGCTCCACGAGGTTTGTGATCATGACGATCACCTGGACGCGCTGCTCCCAGATGAGTCGCCAGAAGGCGTGGAACGTGTGCGGCAGCGGCCCCTGGGCGCCGATGTACTGGTTGCGCACCAGGAAGCCATCGATGTAGTTGGCGTTGATGTAGTCGCCGCGCCGCTGACCGGGCACCGGCCGCAGCGGCACCAGCGTGTGGTCGTCTGCGGAGCGGAGCGACGGGTCAAAGGTGCTCCTGGGGCGGCGGTGTCATACAATACCGGGTGATAAGGCGGAAGCGACCGAGAAAGGTTGAGCAAGTGAAACGCCAAAAAGCCCGTATCATGCTCGTATTATGCTGATCGTATATTATGATCAAGTGCAAGCGCGACTTTTTAGCCAGTGACATGCTTTCCGATCGCCGAGCCTTTTGGCGCAACATCAGGGATTTCGCTTTCCGTCCTTCCCGTGGTGGAGCTGGTGCTGGCGAGGGGGTACCACCGGGTCAAGAGGACACTTTTAACGCCCATTTCGCAGCTGTTGGGCCTCGAATCGCTGCTGAGCTGTCCGCCAGTGACCCCTCCCCACTCCCGCCGCGGCCGCCGTGTGTTACGTCGGCGGGGCTGCGTCTGCAGCCTGCCACGCTGCCGGAGCTGTCGCTGGCTCTGAGCCGGTTGTCTTCGTCCCGCGCAGTCGGGCATGATGGTGTACCGCTGCAGGCTATAAGATCGTGTTTTACTGTCATAGGCTCTCATATTTTACACATTGTGAACGCGTCCATCATTTCTTGTACTTTTCCCGACACATGGAAGCTCGCTACAGTCGTGCCTTTGCACAAGTCCGGTGCCAAAGATCTACCAGGCAATTTTAGGCCAATCTCTATTTTACCTGTGTTATCAAAAGTGTGTGAAAAAATTGTTTGTACTCAGCTGTCATCTTATCTCGCTCGCTGTCACCTTTTAGCTCCGTCACAGTATGCTTACCGATCTAGACACTCAACGGAGGACGCGCTGATCGACGCGGTGGAGTGGATGACGCGGCGTGTCGACGATGGCGATGTTGTCGCCGTCACGTCCATCGACTTGAGCCGGGCGTTTGACAGTGTTGACCATGACGTTCTGCTTAGAAAGCTGTGCTGGTATGGTATTGATCCTAGATGGTTTCGTAGCTACCTGACTGGTCGACGGCAGGTGGTGAGAGGTGGTTCCTTGTCCTTGCCTCTTTCCCATGGGGTTCCGCAAGGTTCCCTAGTCGGTCCCATCCTCTTCAGCATCTTCACAAATGACCTTCCATCCTATCTTCCTCACGGTCGCCTCATCTCCTACGCCGACGACACCCAATTACTTGACTCGGCCCGTCCTAAAGATCTATCCATCCTTAAATCCCGACAGGAGGATACCCTCCGTGCTGTCCTCTCCTACTTCACATCCAACTCCTTAAAAATGAACCCATCCAAGACCACTCTGCTCCTTGTCGGCACTGCCCAAAACCTTAAGAAAACCTCATCCTTCCACCTTAACCTGCCAGGCTACATACTAACACCCTCGCCATCTGTGAAGATGCTGGGAGTGACCCTAGACCCCACCTTATCCTGGGAAAAGCACATCTCCAACGTTGTCAAAAAGTGCAATTCCATCCTTATATGTCTGTATAAAATTCGCCATCATCTCAGTCCCGACATCCTTAAGCTCCTTATCCAGTGTCATACCTTTCCTCACATCCTGTACTGCCTCTCTGTCTGGGGTGGCGCCGCTGCATGCCACCTTCACCGTGTGCAGAAGGCGATGAATTTTGGTGCGAGGGTTGTCTCTGGCGTGCCCAGGCATCACCATGTATCGCCGATCCTAGCTGCGCTGGGCTGGTGTGATGTGCGCGAGCTGGTTGAGCGCCGTGACTGCCTCGGCGTCTACAGGGCGCTGAGAGACCCGCACGCTCCCGCGGCGATCCGCTCCCTGTTCGTCCCTCGTGCAGCGGTTTCCCGGCGCAGCACCCGGTCGACTGAGGCGGGCGCTCTCGAGCTGCCTCCATACCGCCTGTCCGCGTCGCGCCGCGCGTTTTCTTACCGAGCGGCCGCGGCGTGGAACCGCCTGTCGCCGGCTGTCACCGGCTCTGTAACCCGCGCCGAGTTTCTGCGCCGGCTATCGAACTAGTCGAGGGTCTGGTTTGTCCGACTTTGGTCCGTGTTTTTATATACCCATCTCCTGATTGTGATTTACTGTGATATTGACTGTGTCATGTTTTTATTTATGTACTCTGACTCGGACTAAATATTAAGCCACTATGTGGAAATGTCCTCAATACACCGAACTTGAACTTGAACTTGAACTTGTGTACCCTGTTTACAATTCCGAAAAGTCCACGCAACTTTCCGTCTACCTGACATTGAAAAATATATGAATGATCATTGATCGACCGCCTTGCGTTGTTATAGGGAAGAAATTCATTCAAAATGCTTCCAAACGTTACTGGTTACACCAATAGCTATGATACAGAACCACGCAGCATAAGTGCTACTTACATGCGTCGATGTTTTGGTATCGGTTCTTTTTCTTATTCTCCTCGACCTGTGACGTTTCCGAGGGCAGACCCAGCTTGCTGGTGTGTTCGAGGATCTCATCGTATTCTTTACAGAATCCTGGGAAAAGCCATTTGTCACTCATGAACATTTGCACAGATATGGGTTTCCTCGGAGAACAGCCTCAGACAGAATCGAGACGTCTACAATCGGGCTCAGTTGCTAAGCCAACCACAGAGAACTAAGCTAACTCGGAGTGCGTCATGATCCTCATCGGAAGCATTCAAACGAATTGCATAAGACGCATCACACCGAGTGAGCAGTGCGATAAGATTGCGTCCTTTCACAGAGCCGAGCCGACCATATCAGCACCTGCATCACAGCGGGGCGCCGTACATCCCCGCATACCGGAACTATAGTCTGTTTTTCGTATCTTCTACCTTCACTCAAAGACGGTAAACTCTCTAATCACGTGCTCCAGCGAACATCTAATTAAATCAACACCGCTGCAAAGTCAATTTTTATCTCGAACGCAAGATCGAACGTCTGTCCCCTTGGCCTATCTCGTTAATCAAAATGCAATGTTCTTTGTCAAGTGAAATGCATTTGCATAAATACGTGTCATCATATTTTCATTCTGGCAAAATTATCCCTTTCTAATTTCATTATGTTTTCAAACAACAGAAGGGTAATGGCCTGGTCTCAGACAAGACAAAATGATCGTAACGTTTTCTTTCAACGTTTCAAAGCAAAAGAAATGTGGGTTAGGTGACTGAAATAAGGCGGTGAAGAAGGAGCACAACCAAGGAATGTCGCCAGAATAACTAACTTACTTCCTTGGATACCAGAAAGAAAAGTGTTGAAGGCGCGGAAAAACACCGACGGTGGTGGCACAGTTCAACTCCGTCATGCTTTCAGCGTAATATAATACGAAAAATGCATACGTGGGTGTTATTGTTGTTATTACCTGCATTTGTATATCATAATATAAGCCCTAAGGCGTTGGTGATTGCCAGCGGTCAAAAAGTCATGTCAGTTGATAAAGATCACTGCAGCAGCTTTCGAAAATACCTAATAGCTGCTAGAACTAAAAATGTTTCGACGGCGCTGTAGTTCAATCGGTTGACAAGGTTTGGTCAGATTTGTCCAAACATGTTGAGCTCGGGAGTTTTTTTAAATTTATTACCTTCAGTGGCCTTCACTATTGACCTAAGCAAAATGCGGTATATACTATATACATATACTGCTAAAGTAATTGTTCAGAGCTATCGATTCTTGCCCGCGTCTTCGCATCTTTCTTACTTTTCGGGATGATCGCGTGAGGCAGATAGGAAAACTATAAGATGAAGCAAATCTGCCTGGGACCCCCAAGCGGGCGTGGGCTAAGACAATTTTGTTATTCGTCGGTGTAAAAGTTATCGCAACGTAAATAAAGCAAAACATAAATAAAACATTTGAAAAAAATTGGCAGAACATATAACACATTTAGTTTCTTTTAGCCAATGAAAAGGAAGTGCAAGCTTAAAACTATTCTTTAAATGTTCTTAGCAAGAGCGCTTCGCACAATGCAAGTTACCTATGAACAGCAAAACCTCCTTGTGTATAGGTCGGTAGTCAGTGTACCACTAAACCGTGGTAACGATAATACAAGCGATACTCTAGCTTAAAGGTTTCTTTTCCGATTTTATCTGCGCAGCGAAGGCGAACTCCAACACGAGCAACAAACTCCTGCAATGAGTGGTGGGCCATGCGGTCAAGATTTGAAAACTATACCCTAAAAACGTGCTGGACGGGCAAAACATCTTTGAGTGAAGGTAGAAGATACGAAAAACAGACTATAGTGAGTCACAGCCCCCCACACTGGTAGTCATACACTCCCACCGGCCCGCGGCCCGTCACTGCTCGCCGATACCGCCACCGGCCGCAGCGTGCCCGACTCCGAGTTCCTTATATCGGAGCCGGAGCCCTCGGTGCCCCACAGCGCGGCCTGCCCGCGAGCCTCGCCGTACTTACGTCGGAGTCGGCTGTCTCACCACAGTCCTAAATACTGCTGTCAATTCCACCGCACCTATGTATACCGGAGCCCCCCCCCCCCCCCACACACACACACACACAAACCGTGCTTATGTCGTAGCCCCCCCCCCCCCACCGTCACCGCACCTATGTCAGAGTCCCCCCCCCCCTACCTATCTCGGAGTCGGTCCCACCGTACCTATGTCGGAGTCCCCCCCCCCCCCCGCTGTACCTATGTCGGAGTCCCCCACCGTACATATGTCGGACCCCCCCCCCCCCCCCTCACCGTACCTATGTCGGAGTCGGCGTGCAGCGCGGCCACGTGCAGCGGGAACTGGGAGGCGGCCACCGGAGCCGGCGCGCCGTTCGGTCCGTCTCTCAGCCAGGCCGGGTCCGAGTCGAGCGGGGTGCGCACCGACGGCCACTCCTCCAGGTACAGGTAGGACGAGCGACACTGGCGCCTGCCACAGCAAACCAGCCGGTGTCAGTCAGGGTTCGCGTCCATAGAACAATGAGACTGAGGTCTATAGCGCCACTGCCACGGCCACGGCGACTAGCCGAAGGGTGAGTGTGACCCTCCTCGCTTGGTTCTGTCCAATGTCTAATTCTATTTATAGTCACCGTGGTTCTGTCCAATGTCCCTCCCCCACCCTCACCTCCAGAGCAGCAGGGCGGTGATGGCCAGCAGCAGCGCCAGCGCCGCGCACAGGCAGCCCACCAGCAGCGTGGTGCCGCCGCCGTCCAGCCACGAGTCGCCGCCGCCGCCGCCGCCGCCGGCCGGCGGGCAGCGCTGGCGCGCCTCCACCAGCCGCGACTCGGAGGGCGCCGAGCGCAGCGCCGCCGTGTCACGCGACTCAGCCACCAGCCACAGCTTGTAGGTGACGCCCGCCGTCAGGTTGGAGAGCCGGTACTGCCGGGCGCGGGGGGGGGGGGGGGGGTGGGGTGGGGGGGGGGGGAGGTCAGACGCTACCGCAGAGGAAGATGACGTTGAACCACAAAGAAGGGACACCGGATTGGTCAGTATTGAAAATAAGTCAAACGGCAACGGAACACAGGAAAGTACAAGGCAGAGAGGACTAATGCCTGTTTGCTTCTCGTGGATAGGCCATCCACCCCGCTAGGGGTCACTTCACCGCAGGCGAGCATGCTTCTGAGGAGCCACTCACGTCTGATGAAGGTGCCATCCAGCCCAGAACCGGGGTTTGAGGCGTTGAAAAGGATTTGGTTGTCCTGAGGATAAAAAGGACAGAACAGTAGAGATAGACATCAGAGTAGTTTTATTCACCTCACAGCACAACTTTCAAGTCCACAGCGAACCACCGAGACCTTCGTACGGACTGCCTGAGGTTGTGCCCGCCGGCAACCGACCAGACCCTGTCCCCGACACTGTCTCTGCCCTGTCCTGTCCCGGCTAGGTACTGACCTGTGTCCGCCGGCAACCGACCAGACCCTGTCTCCGACACTGTCTCTGCCCTGTCCTGTCCCGGCTAGATACTGACCTGTGCCCGCCGGCAGCCGACCAGACCCTGTCCCCGACACTGTCTCTGCCCTGTCCTGTCCCGGCTAGGTACTGACCTGTGCCCACCGGCAGCCGACCCGACCCTGTCCCCGACACTGTCTCTGCCCTGTCCTGTCCCGGCTAGAGTAGGTACTGACCTGTGCCCGCCGGCAGCCGACCAGACCCTGTCCCCGACACTGTCTCTGCCCTGTCCCGTCCCGGCTAGGTACTGACCTGTGCCCACCGGCAGCCGACCAGACCCTGTCCCCGACACTGTCTCTGCCCTGTCCTGTCCCGGCTAGGTACTGACCTGTGCCCACCGGCAGCCGACCCGACCCTGTCTCCGACACTGTCTCTGCCCTGTCCTGTCCCGGCTAGGTACTGACCTGTGCCCGCCGGCAGCCGACCAGACCCTGTCCCCGACACTGTCTCTGCCCTGTCGTCGCTCCGTTCTGCTCTGTCCCGGCTAGGTACTGCCCTGTCCCGGCTAGGTACTGACCTGTCCCGGCCAGGTACTGCCCTGTCCCGGCCAGGTTCTGCCCTGTCCCGGCCAGGTACTGCCTTGTCGTCGCTCTGTTCTGCCCTGTCCCGGCCAGGTACTGACCTGTCCCTCCCTGGCGGGCACCTGGAGCTCAGAGACGGCGCCGCCGGCGGCCGGCTGGCTCTGTACCAGGTAGCGCACGGCGCGGCTCTCGGCCAGCGAGGGCCGCTGCCACCAGAGCCGCACGGCGGCGCCGGACTCGCAGGCGGCGTGCAGTAGCCGCGGCGGGTCGGGCGGCGCCGCCTGCGTCAGCAGCTCGGCCGACGCCGAGTAGCGACCCTCGTGTTTGGACGTGAACGGCTTCACGGCCAGCGAGTAGGTCGAGTTGGGCTCTGCCGGGCAGTCAGGGACCGTCAGTGGCCGTAGGCGGGCTGAGACCACGGCAGTGAGGTGTGGCAGGGTGCTGCAGCAGCTGGGAACTTCAATTGGTGGGGTCAGAAGCAGCTATTTTCTTTATCACCATAATGATAAAAACTCATGTTTTAGGTGCAGGGAATGACACTCGGAAGAAAAGGACATTCTCAAGCTTCGCAATAATGCTTTATAGTACATATAATTACGCCGGTCCACATTTTGATATTCAATGCTTCAGATGAAAGCCCCCCAAGCCAGGAGCGGCAGGTGGCCACATCAGCAAGAGACATTTGCTTGGTTGGGAGCGCGCTACTTTGGCCCGCAAGGGAAGGGCCGGCGACACTGATGGGTTGGCAATGCAAACAGACATATGGGAGCAAATTATCGTCGTTCGGTCGGCTGATGGGCACATGCAAGCGTAAGTTTATAAGCCACCTGCCGTTCAAACCAGTAGCATGAGGTAAAACTTCTGTGAAAAAGCGACAGCTATAATAGTCTGTCATCCTCGTGAGAAATAGAAACAGCAAATGTAAGAATAAACCACAAAGCATGCAACAACTAAGAAACTTTATCCAAGCTAACACAACATGCCACCTCTTGCAATGTGCATAACGTAACCAAGAGAATGGAATATTGCATGAAATAAAAACATCATCAAACAACACTATAACATAATACACTTTATCTTGGGTTGCCAATTGGAACAAATCACTGATTTCGATCTACATCACGTATCACATTGTTTCGCTCAGCTTGGTCATGCATGCTCCATTGGTTCTTCTTCCTTTCTGCAACCAAGACGGGACTAAAAAGCACTTGAATATTGTGTTGTATGAAATTTGCGTGTTCAGTAAAAAAGCAATGGGAATGCTGGGAGAGCCACTGGCATGCGGTAGAAGACTGAACTGTTGAATTCGAGACCAGTTCTGTTACAAGACTGGTCTCGAATTCATCTATGCTTCTTGCAGGCAGGCATTCCAGCGTGCTTCATAAAGACACATGCACCACTTCACTGCGCAGGGAGGGCACACAGCCGGCTCCGCTGGCCGCCAGGCCGTCCGACGGACACCGACTGAGAGAGAGAGCACTCAAGCGGGCGGCTGAGGCGCGCCGCGGGCCGCGCCAGCCACCGGCGTGCGGGGCGCGGGCCAATGGCGTGCGGGGCGCGCCAGCCACTGGCAGGCGGGGGCGTGCGGGGCGCGGGCGGGCCACTGACTGAGGTCGCGGAGCGTGTACTGCAGCGCCGGGCCCGTGTCGCGGATCCATGTGGCGTTGGTGAAGTTGCCCAACGTCGAGTAGATGCGGTACCCCTCGATGCGGCCGGCCGGCTGCGCGGGCGGCAGCCAGGCGATGGTGGCCGTCGTCGCAGTCACATTGACCACCGTCAGGTTGCGCGGCGCGTCCGGCACTGGCGGCATCGGAGCGGCTCAGTGGGGGCGGGGAAACGGCACGGCTCCGTGGAGGCAGAACATCGGAGCGGCTCATTGGAGGCGGGGCACCGGCCCGGCTCGGGTAAAGGGACCGGTATGGTCGACGCCGGAACACATCCTGCTCCGCTGCCCGGCCCCGATGCGGATCCGCCTACAACTAGGAAACATACTCCCGAGGGGGAGGAGGTCCGGAGCAGTGGCGTGGTGGCGGGCCTGGGCCCCCACCAGATTCCTCCAAAGCCGCTGGCCCGCGAGGCTACGCAGCGTTAGCTACGTGGGGAAAACACAACACAACAACAGGTGGATGCACAGGTCAGTGGAGGCACTGCTTAGTGGAGGTAGACAACAGCGGGGCAGGCAAAGAGGTGTGATGAGCCAAGGACCTTTGGTGCAACAAAGCTGCCAGTAGGTACCTACTACTACATTCATCAGAAGTGCATCAGAAGTGGGTCAAAGGCCAAACAATTTCAGGCATGAAATTATGAGCCATTAGTAGCACTTTCCACAGTTAAACTGAAGATTATAAGACAATGGTCAAGAAGTGTTAGAAACAAATCATGCACACATATTACAGAGCTGAAGCACCTATGTGAAAAATATGATGATTGTAACATGTAACTATTCATAGATCCCATGGTTCCAATTTCAGGCTCTGACACAATAAGGCATTTGGCAGGTGTAAGATGAGATGATAACTGTGTGCAGCCCAGTCAACAGCTGCACACTGTTCCCCACAAAAGCAGCTAATTCACACTTGTCATAATGCTGAGTCAATACTCAATAGACAAATTTATCAGGGTGTATAAGTGCATCTAAATATAATTCTTCCTGCCGACCTTAAATGCTTGGTATATGTCAAGTTTAGGTCCTAACTACAATTGTGGCGCTTTTGATACAAATATGAAATAGCAAAAATTTTAGGTTTTAGGTTAGGTTAGGTTGTAGGTTTGTAGGTTTTAGATTGTAGGTAGGTAGGTTTGTAGGTTAGGTTAGGTTAGGGTAGGTTTGTAGGTTGTAGGTTGGTAGGTTATAGGTAAGTAGGTAAGGTTAGGTCAGGTTTGATTATGTTTTTTTCTTTTATTTGCGAGACATATGAGTATCATTTTTGGATTCAGGATGTCAAATAATGTAAAAATATGAAAAATTTATCAATGAAATCTTCTTAGGACTTAAACATGACATTTACCAAATGCTTTTTACTGTTTTGCAATGACCACTGAGCAAACATTTTTGTTTCGTCCTTTACTTATGATCTTTCATAGGTTTAGCTCCGGTAACGGTAGCTCTGGTTTACACCTTCTCCACTGGCACCAAGGCTGAAACTACACTGGTCAACCAACACTGGTCCCAGACAGTTATCGTTTGGATGGTTATAGCCATTAATCTTCACAAATTTCACTGATATTTAACTTGCAGAATACAATGAGACTATTGACATCACCAGCAGCAACCGACCCTTATGCACAATAAAATGCTAAAAACACAGAAGAAGTATTTCCCTGATAAAATGATAAATAACATACAAGAGAAGACTGAGAAAACACTAGGCTCGTCGTGCACGTATTGGCCTTCTGAAATGGGTACGAACCAAAATGGTAGCAAACAACACAAACAAAACCATAACGATGTTAAATTACCTGCTTCTTCTTCACATTTTACACACAATAAGCATGTTAATAGTAAAAATAAACAACAAGATAAAGGAGTCCATGTCTTGATGGAGTTTCCTTTGTTTGTGAGCAGGGCAAATCCAGAGACTTGAGACATTGTCGCAAAATTTTGGCTGGGTTAGTAGGAAGTTTGACTTCACTGACAACCACAGAACAATAATTCGTAGAACAATACCATAGTCAAAAGCTTGCTATGAGTTTTAAGCTAAACTTATACGGCCTTGGCTAATTATTCATCGCGACCAAGATCGCGCCAAACACCGCCTTCGGGATGATCGATGAACGTGTTGCCGCCGTTGTTGCTGGGCGGATGAGCAAAGTGCGCCGTAAAATGTCACACCAACGCTAATATTGCAATGCTACCAAATCAAAGTTGGAAGCCGGAAAGTCAAGGCTACTAATGTCAATTTCTTTTACAATCACTGTGAAACATTTCATGAAAAAATAGCAGTGCCTGTGACTGTATAAATTATATGAGATCATCCGACATTACAATATCAATGACCCTAATATCAAACACGCATTGACAGCCTAGAAACAGGATTATGACGGCAACCGAAAACATAATCGTCCGATCCGACCGGCGACTTCGACAGCCAATTAATCCGAGATCATTTTACCTACTACCAAGGCTATATAAACCACCAAGGCTATATAAACCCCTACTACTGAGTACTGGTTTCTACTCAGTATCAGGCGCGTAACCAGCACTGGGGACACTGGGGACCGGTCCCCAGTAAAACCGAAGATCTTAACCCTATTCCTGGCGGGGGGGGGGGGGCCTCAGGAGACCCCCCCCCCCTGAGGTTTTTTGGTTATTTCTCCCAAACGCGTTGAGCTAGGAAGCTCAAATTTTCTGACTTTTCCTATAAGGCTTCTACGCAACATGTCTGAAAATTTTGAGTTGATCTGACCTCAGGTCAGGTCACCAGAGGCGGTTTGGTGACCCTACCTCAGAAAAGTTTGCAATCACGCCAGAGCTAGAGTTTTAGACCGATCAATTTCTTCTCTTCAGGCTTTAGTTAGGGTACCAGTATGTGCAATTTGTATATCTCGGAATTTTGATATCGGTGACCTAAGGTCAGGTCAATTTCGCGACCTCCCCATTATAAGTCAATGGGGGAAAAATCAATTCCCTGTTTTTACCACTAAAACGGGTCGGAATGGCCCCATATACCATACATGACTTCATATACGATCAACCTTCACTACCTTGAGGTCTGTTTTGCTGTAGGGCAGCTGTGAGGTCATGTGACGTCATCAAAGGTCACCAAAGGTTTTTGGCCAATAACTCCGTACAGGAACAAGATACAGACTCGTGGATGGTCTCATTGTGTTCAGCTCGTCAAGACGCATCGAATGATATACATGATGACCTCGAGGTCACGTGACCTGAGGCCAACCTTTGACCTTGACCTTTCGAGGTCAACATATATATCATTCGATGCGGATTGACGAGAGGATCACGATGATGCCCTTCAATGGCGGCGGATTCGATTTTGGCGTGGGGGGGGCAAGATCCCAGTCGAGATGATGTCATAGGCGGATCCAGAAAGGCGTTTTCGACGCTCTAGGGGACATACCCCCCCCCCCCCAAAAAAAAAGTGTCCAAACTCCAAAAACTCCTTGGATTTCGATTCCTTACGGACCTACTGCTGAACAGTATATAGCAAAAAAAAAATCCGATAAAAGTGTTATTATTAGGAAACATAAGATACGTTTTGTCTATTTCGGGCAATGCAGGGGCCAGGGGGAGGGGGAGTAAACATTTGCTTTAAATGCCCGCTCCCTGGATCCGCCAGTGGACGACGTAACGCTTTTCGTATTGCTGTATTAGAAAAAAGCTCCAATGGGAAATTTGTGCCATAACCCGATCGCATATCAGATGTTGAAGAACGGTGCCAAACCTTTTGAAGTAGGCGAGCGCTATTCTTCGATGAGGTAACTCGTTACCATTTCCTCTGTTCATTTTACGTTCGATTTCCTTTAAAAAGTATTTCTGATACAGATATCAACTGAAACTAGCTCACAGCGGGAGGAGACCGCTTTAACATTCAGAGACAGTCGGTCGCATCTAAACCTATTGGGACAGCGATCCGCCAGAAACCCTCCCCAAGGCAGTAGTTCGCCAACTATAGCTCACCGAGACGGGCTGTCTCGATGGGTTTATACAGTAAGCCTACAGCAAGGCTTAACTAAGGCCCAAACGCTCGTCAAGTTGGGAACGGAGGGCTGAGGCGAGGGAGCGCGGCGGCGGGCTGGGGTGAAGGAACGGTGGACTGGAACGAGAATCCAGAAGCTCTGGGTGGGGCGTTTCTTTATTAGGGCTTTAGGGTGCGCTGACTGCGGTAAGGTCCAAATTATCACGCCAAATTTTGCCACGACGTCTACCGTTTTAGGCACTCGAGAATCAGCGGCCAGTGATATCTGCAAAGACGAAGCATTTCCTACCCAGCTTCAGCCTGGTGTCAGGGCGCCTCAGGTGGCTTTAATTACAGTTGCGCATGCCAAACGACCTCAGTGCAGCCAGTCTGTGGCCGAACCCATTCGGAACAGACTTCAAGAAAAGTGAGACAAGGTTAGTGCTATCGTTAAGTGCCATTATAGACTTGGGCCCCGTTGGCTTGACCCACTGGAAGGTGGTAACTTTATCGGACGCTGCGGGGCATACTCATTTTTCCAAAATGCCTTAGATTTTGCTTTCGTGTTCATAGGCGGCGGAACGGGGAGGGCACCGGGAACCCGTGATCCCCTTTGATTTTGGCATTTTAACGTTAGCCCTATGGGAGTTGTATGGAAAGAATGGGTCCAAAAGTCGGCAGTAACCCCCTCCCCCCCCCCTTAATTGAAGGTGTTCCGCCGCTACTGTTCGTGTTTGATGCTCTTCATTCTATAGCCAGCCTTTAGACACAGGGGGCCCACTAATGATCAGTGCCCTAACCCTCAAAAGTTTCCAACATTAATTTTTACTTTTTTAATAGTGAAAACTGAAATAAAGCGGATACTGAACTGTGAACGTCCAGTTTTTACACTCGCCCCACACAAGCCTCCGAATGCCCAAAGCAGATCTCTGATGACTGGCCTTTGGGTGTCATACCGTGCATTGGTCAATGTGGTCAATGTGTACGACCTCGACGTTTACCATTTTATGCGCTGGAAACTCTTGCGCTAGACAAAAAAAAAAAAAATCAGGGGAGTGGCTTATTATGAGCGCTCATCAGTCCTAACTAGGTACCCGTAAGCGAATGGTACCCTTCCCTCTCCGCTCGCTTGCGATTTGGCATTTATGTAGGTACAAATTAGCGGCAAACGACCACTGAAGGTATGAGTTGCGTCTCTCGCACACTTCAAATATCTCTAAATCGAATCTGAAAAGACAAAAAAATGACATAAAGCGGAAATGGCTAGCATTTACACATATTCAAAAGGCACCGTTGAACAAACCGTAGGAGCGCATAGCTGCAATATCAGGTTATGAAAATTTTCCTCATGTGTAGGGCACAAATTATGTAGGGGCAAGAATGTACGTTTGCCCCTCCTCCAAAAGTTTTTTAGGGGACGGTGCCTCCTCTGCCACCCCGTATCCGTCGCCCCTGTAAGCGGTCACTGAAGGCCTGGGTTGCCGCTGCGCTTATAATGCCTCCAAAACTAGATTGAAGAGAGGAAAACTTCAGTTGAACGCGAACGCTTGCCGTTTAAGAAAGGCAGCGTATGATAAAGTATATAGGCATCTGGTTACATCTTCAGATGATCGAACAGAATAATCAGGTATATGGTTTCTTGTCTAAGCTTTGTCACAAATTATGGGGGGGGGGGGCAAAAAGATACTTTTGCCCCCCCACGAGTTTGCCAGGGGGGGGGGGGGGGCAGCTGCCCCCCTGCCCCCCGAATCCGCCGCCCCTGATGCCCTTAGTTTGTTCCTATCTTGACTAATTCGAAAGTTATTCGAGAAAAACTCTCTCCATATCTAGCGCCGCCATTTTGACTTTTTCGACCCCTGTGACGTCATCTTTGACCTGACCTGAAAATGACCTTAGTAAAAATTGTAGACCTTGTCCATGCGTATCCGATGCCGTTTACCGCTTGTCGCTATCTTGCTTCGTTCTCGAGATCTCAGGGGGGGGGGCCGAATCGGCCCCCCCCCCCGCCAGTTTCTTGTCCCGGCGGAGCCCGCCAGGAATAGGGTTAATTTGCTACCAAATATTGTCTCTAAATCGACGTGAAGAGTAATATGTAGTAAGAAAAGACAACACTATGGATATTTTGTTTAGCCAGCGCCCGGGTGGGCCTCTCAGCCAATTTCGCTATGGGGGAGGGGAGGGGCTTTTTGGCCACACCAGATTATCTCGGAAAGTAAGCAAGCTAGAAAGACGCAGTAAAAACCAACAGATATCTCGCTACAGTGTCTTTCAGAATTACTTTTGCCATTTTTGATCGGGTCAACGCTGAGGTCACTGGAGGTCACCAAAGATAAAATTTTCACGAACTTTTGTTCCCAATTTTGACAACTTTTCACAAATAGGCACATAAGTCAGGAACCGATAGAGCTGCATTGCTGCGGGAAAGCGCATTCGGTAGCTCTTTTGAATGCCTTTCTGAGTGATGTTCTCAGATTTGACCTAAGGTCAACGGTTTAGATTCCAGGTTGACGTTTTTGCGGAAAAGGTTTTTGGATCATACCTACCTTTTGACTCAAAACTTTTATAACGCTGATTTTACCGGCATCGCGTTTGTCTCGTCGAGACGCGTCGAATGAATTAGAAATTGACCTGAAAAGGTCAACTTGAAAATTTGAACCCTGATCAAGGTCACGGAAAAGGTCATGTTGCATGTCATTCGATTGGTATTGTTGAGCTGAACCCATTCATGGTGTTTTAAGCGCCCTGGCATGTTTCTACCTAAAGTTATGGTAAAAATTGTTGGAGATGTTTCATCATGACCTGATATAACCTCAGGGGCGTAGAAAGGGTCACAGGGGCAATTTTCCGCTTCAGTGTTAACCTGTGTCACGGTGTTTGAATGTGTTTTTGGCCAAAAGAAGAGCATTTTTTTCCATGACTTATAACGGAGAGGTCTCACAATTGACCTGACATTAGGTCACCGATGTGAAAATTTTGAGACATACGATTGTTCATCTGATTTCCTCATGCAAAAGTTTCAGTTTCAAACTTTTGGGATGTTAACTGTTGGAATGGCAGTAACAAAGTTTTTTAGAGGCATGGCTACTTTACTTGACCTGCTGGCCTGACCTTAGGTGACCTGCGGTCAAAATTTTCACACACGATGCGAAATTGAGGCATCATAGGCTATACCAAGTTTCGCGGCGGTGCGCGCCGCGGTTTTCCTTACACGCCCAACAAAAACTGGCAGGTGTGGCCAAAATGCCCCCCCTCCCCTCTCCCCACCCCCTCCCCCCTACCCCACCCAATCGGGCGAAGGCTGATCCTGAAATATAATATTTGGTCTTTGCGGCCCTCCATGTGGTCCCCAGTAACTTCAAACTCGTGGTTACGCATCTGCTCAGTATCGATACTGTCAATCGACAATCGAGTCAGCCGTTTTGCTCAAAAAGGGGAAGGGAATAAACAAAGGCATCAGTGAAAACACCAGGGTTATCGGCGAATGCTGAATTGAGCTCAGAGGCCAGTTTCACCAATAAAAAACAGACGGCTGCGATTATTTTTTGACAAAACGATAGTCTATAAATCCTATTTACCGGTGGAAGTAGTTGCTGACCAAATAATATAGCACTTGAAAGCTACGTTATTACATTTTTCAAGTCAGCGATTAGAATTTTTAGCAGTAAATGACATTTTGAGACTATCGTTTTGTCAAAAAATAATCGGCAGCCGTCTGTTTTTTATTGGTGAACTACTGGCCTCAGGCGGCTGTCGGGTTTGTGGCACGTTCGCTGTGGCCATGACCCGGCTGTATGGCCGGGCCCGGTGACGGCTGGGCAGTTGTGTCGGTGAGGTAGGTACCGGGCGACCTACCTCCCTCCTCAGTGGTTACCACCACAGTGGTGCTGGGGCTGAAACCGGCCGGGTTCTCCACTTGCAGCGACACCAGGTACTGGGTGAACGGCCTCAGGCCGGTGATGGTGTGACTCTGGAACAGGGAGAGGCGGCGGGGCGGTGGGTCAGAGCTAACACACCGCCAGTGGACGACTGTGGATCTGAGAGCACTGAGCTCCAGTGGACGGTGGGTCTGAGAGCACTGAGCTCCAGTGGACGGTGGGTCAGAGAGCACTGAGCTCCAGAGGACGGTGGGTCAGAGAGCACTGAGCTCCAGTAGACGGTGGGTCTGAGAGCACTGAGCTCCAGTGGACGGTGGGTCAGAGAACACACCGCCAGTGGACCGTGCCGGTCAGAGAACACTGAGCTCCAGTGGACGGTGAGTCAGAGAACACACCACCAGTGGACGGTGGGTCAGAGAGCACTGAGCTCCAGTGGACGGTGGGTCAGAGAGCACTGAGCTCCAGTGGACGGTGAGTCAGAGAACACACCACCAGTGGACGATGGGTCAGAGAGCACTGAGCTCCAGTGGACGGTGGGTCAGAGAGCACTGAGCTCCAGTGGACGGTGGGTCAGAGAGCACTGAGCTCCAGAGGACGGTGGGTCAGAGAGCACTGAGCTCCAGTAGACGGTGGGTCAGAGAGCACTGAGCTCCAGAGGACGGTGGGTCAGAGAGCTCACCGCCAGTGGACGGTGGGTCAGAGAGCACTGAGCTCCGGTGGACGGTGGGCCGGAGAATGCTCACCACCAGTGGACGTTAGGTAACAGACACGCCGTCCCCCGAGAACGGAGGAGTCCATGAAGTTGCAGGCATTACGTCTTACATTTGAGAGAGCTCTTCTAAAGGCTCTTAGCCGTTTTAACCCGGCGGCCGCTGGGCCTCCGCGCCACCCGCCGGCCGCTGGGGGGGGCATATAGTTGCCCCCCCTTTACTTCTGCGACGCTATCGTCGCAACGCGAAGAGATAGAGAAGCGAAACTTTGCACACACCTTCCTGAATACCTAGCCGAGGTTGTGTCCAAATTTGGTGTCGATCCCATTTGAAATGACGTCACAGTGACGTCATAAGTGAAATTATAGATTTGCGACTCTCATATTCCTCACGATACATCAGATATATGGGACCGAATATAAAGGGTCGATTATTGGTCAGAAACTAGATGGAAGTGTAGTTAGATGTTTTAGGATGACAGCAGGTGCTATCTAGTTCATTTACAGTTGAGTTTCATGCTCAGCGTCATCAGAAACGGTCTATATCGCAAATCGACAAAACTTTATGACGTCACTGTGACGTCATCTTAGGTGCTACAACCACCAAACTTTCCTCAAACATTGCCTAGGTATTCATTTGAAGCTATGCCAAGTTTCACGTTCGTAGCTCATCAGGTTTCGGAGATATTTCACAAAACGTAAAGGGGGGGCAACTTTATGCCCCCCCCAGCGGCTCGTGGGTTAAATCACGTCATATTCAAACGTTACAGCAGTCGGCTACCTAATGGCTTACTCGTACGTGTAACGTAACGGCAGTTACCTATAAAACTAGCCGACTCACAAGTCACACCTTTTCCCCATTCATCGCTACGCACGATGCCTTCTGACACATTTGGCCACCGGAAGCCTCCGTCCTATTCGGAAAACACTGGCAGAATATCCTCAGCTGCAGCTGGCCGGAGTGACCGAAAAGCCGCGGGCGTCCTACTCACTTCTTATCGGAGCATTATTCAAAAACGCGACGTCCATTTTTAGCGCGGCGCGCGACCGAAAACAAACACAGCTCGCCGCGGCGAGCGCGGCTCTGCCCGGGACACCTCTCCGGGCTGTCGGACGGGGCGCCGGGCCTGGCCGCGCTCCGCCCGCCTCCCCGGCTGTCGCAAGGGGCGCCGGTCCGCCCGTCCCCCGGCTGTCGCAAGGGGCGCCGGTCCGCCCGCCTCCCCGGCACTACATTATTCAATATTCAGCCGACTCCCGGCACACTGTGTCACCCCGTAAAACCTGCCGGAACTAATAAAACTAGAGGCGTGAAAGTACAGCAGAACGAGCACCATCTGAATAATGTCTGCCGCCCGAGGGATAAGCAGTGGATGGAAAACGCCTGCCGTATGGCTAATATTTGAATCAGTGCCAGGACAGCAATACTATGTAATGGTCATTTGGGATTGTTTGTCCCGGTTAGAGATCTACTAAACCCCATGAGCATGTGCTGAAACGTAACCTTCTGAAATGATCGGTATTCGGTTCCCCTGGAGTGTCCCGTCTGTCGGAGTGCCCTGTCTCGTGAGTGTCCGCCTCCGGCCTCTCTGAGTGTCCACCTCTCAGAGTGTCCCCCATCGGACGGCGGGAGTCCTGTCATGGGGCCGCACAAAATCCCGGTGTGAGATGGCGCAGTATTCATAACTACGTCAAAATATGAGGGCTCACCACTCTTCAGCCGATTAAAATAACACAATCTGCACCCCACAGAAAATATAATCACCTAATTTAATCAGGGATATGAGCTTAAGGGAGTATTTTTGAAGAGTTTGGTAACAATAAGCCGCAGCGATCCTCTTAGTCACCTGGTTTAGACTCGGTTTTAAATGGAGCGGAATGAAAGCTTATGCTGTGCTCTGGCGGATTTAAGGCGGGCGGATAACAGAAGCCACCGGGAACGACTGCGTATGTAGGAATGCCCAAACACCGGCAACCTCAGCAATATTATCCCAGTGGCTTGAAAATAACAATGCAGTCGTATCGATCAACAAATACACCGGTCCCATTAAGTGTCTGCATAACAAGAATAGCAGCAGCAGTGTGCCTCGATCGTTTCGCCTGGACGGTATTGCACGGCATGCCAGCAGCACCGGCATAGCTCATTGCTCACCATTCGAGAGCCGCCGGAGTTCGCACCTCTCGGCCAGGCTCTGCTTCATCAGATCCTCTGTTCTTTCCAGTTTATTGACCACGTTAATAAAAACAGTACAGTGAAGTAAGTGAAGTCATCAGATCCTCTCAGCCGGCTCCTCTTTCGTCCGGTTCTCCCTCACTCCCTTGAGCCTGTTCTTGGCTCGCTCGTGTCTCCCTCTCCTCTCACCGTGTCTCCCTCCCCTCTCTCCGTGTCTCCCACCCTCTCTCCGTGTCTCTCCCTCCCCTCTCTCCGTGTCTCTCCCTCCCCTCTCTCCGTGTCTCCCTCCCCTCTCACCTGGGTCTCCTCGTCCGGTATGCGCACCTCCCGCGGCCGGTCGCCGGTGGCGTTTCTCTCTCGATAGGTGATTCGGTACGACTGAAACTCTCCGCGCAGCTGGTCGGCCGCCAGAGGCCGCCACCGCAGGCGCACAGAGGTGGCACTCGTGTTGTGCGCCGCCAGAATCACCGGCTTCCCGCCGGGAGCTGTCGGCGATACGGCGAGGCTGTGGCCTGTGAGCTGTGACTGACTGCGCCTGCGGCGCCGGTCACTGAGCACTGACTGCGGCAGCGGCGCCGGTCACTGCTGGGACAGTCGCTGCAGCTGCGCCGGTCACTGAGCATACAGCAGCGCTGGTCACTGCTGCAACATATAGCTGCAGCAGCGGCAACGGTCACTGAGCATTGGCTGCAGTGGCGGCGCCGGTCACTGCTGGGGAAATAGCTGCAGCAAGTCACTACTGTATCGCGAAAACAAATTAACCGGTGTTACTAAAGACGATGCTGAGTCAATACATTGACTCTGTCAAGCTGAAAGACGCCCCTTTATCATGTTATGTGCAACAACTCAGCGTAAGCGTGTTAAAAACGAATAAATTGGAGAAACAAAATAGGTACAACATTGATTGCTAATCAGTTCGTCACTGCCACATTCAATTTCAGTTTGAGACAAGGTCAGAATGGCCAAATTTCGGTTCAGGTCAAACTGCTGAATTGTCTGCAGACGTTCCTCGAAGATGCTTCGCGTCGATAGAGGGCCCGAGAAGCGGAAACGAATCGGCGATATAGCCCCGAGACAGATGTGATTTAGTTCGAAAGTTGACGGCAGATTTCAGCTCATTCACAGCCCATTGAAAGAAGATAAGGAGCGTCCGCTTCATTGGCATCAGCAATATTTCTTCTTCATGTTTGCTTTTCAGGTCAGCAAACAAAAAAAATCAAAATTTGTACATGTTGCACATTGGTTTATGACTTAGGCAGCAAAAGGTCTAATGTGATCGTAACAAACACAGCAAGCTAGGTGTCTATTTATTAAATTGTTTGTAACGCGCGTGCGCGAAAGAACAGCAAAGGACCGTTCTGCCTTCAAAAAAGGCGAGTCATTGGTGAATATACTCGTAATTGTTATTGTGATAACCAAAACTGAAACAAATAGCTCACAATTATATGAAAACATAGACACTACGCTATATACCGTGCAAATGAGAGCTCCAGCGTTCATCATGAAGCCGAGCAGTGAGCCCATATAACTCTGGACCGCCGACGAAATGAGACAACATCCACATGAATGGCTCTGAAAAGCTGAAGGGATTGATGGCATAACAGCTCAGCAAAAAGAAGGACGGTCCCATTCTCAGTCATCTCGGCCGCGCAGTGAACCGCATGAACGAGGTGGCGCTAGTCTCATTTATTGCCGGAGAGACTGTGTGTTTAACTGTACAGCCACTCATGACTACTCTGACTCCAGATCCCCGGCCCGATATACAGATATAGGCGCTGGACCATTGACTCAGCTATCTGTAGAATTAGCGAGGCCTGTGGTCAGGCGGGTACCCTATAATACCCACTCGACCACAGTCCTTCGTCAGTCCGCTGGCCCCAAGTCAAATATCACAGCCCCTCGTCAGTGACCCAGTCTCAGTCCCCCGGCCCCAGGTCGGAATGCGGCCCCGTCTCCAGGTCAGAATACGGCCCAATGCCGATGCCTCGTTCGGCAGCCGACCTCCACTCAGCAGGCCGCGGATGTCGGCAGGGCGGCCGGCGAAATATCAACAGCCCCAGTTCCGATACCGACACCGGCCCGGGCGGCAGCGCAACAGCCGACACACGGCCGGGGTGAGACGGGAGAGGGACGGGAGTTAGGCGAGGAAGACGGGAGAGATAAGAAGAGAAGAGAGGGAATAGGATATGGGAGACGGAGACGAGAGACAGGAGACGACAGAAAGAACAGGAGACAGGAGATAGGGGAGGCGAGAGAGACCGAGACGAGAATGATGCAAGGGAGAGATGGGATAGGAGACTAAAACGGGAATCGGAGACGAACGATGGTCATGTCAGGTGCCAAGCAAACATTTGATCGTCACCTTTTGACCTCAGAAATATGGGTTGAAAGATAACAAAACCTCCGTTATCTTAATCATAGGCAAGGCGAAAGCCAGGATGTTCATCACTTCACCGATGATGGCTTATGCAAAGAGCAACGAATAATGTGGGCATAATTGTATTCATACGAGTCAATCCCACAGCGTTATTATAGCTCAGATGGGATTTCCATGCACGCCTGTCGTGCGCTGAGCGCTCATTTCACTGGCTGCCAGTCTACCATAGCGTTCCCCCGCTAATCACCCGCTGATTACGGCTATCACACTGACAGCGGAGCCAACTGCCAGCTGCAGCACGGCCATTCCCTCGCTACGTAAACAGTTCGGTGTGGGCTGAGCCGCCCATTTGCATATTGGCAAACAGCGTGCGTAAGTGGGCGCTTGATCTCTGCAAAAGCCACTGGAGCGCGTACCATTTGGCGGCGCTGTAAGTCATAAGGACCGCAGGGGTGCCAGCGCTGAACCGCGATAAACCGCGGGACACCTGTCCGATCACTGCACATCGCATCAGTCCGTGGTGTCACCGACACCGACCGGCCGCTAATCCATCCCGCAGGCTCACTTGCCCAACGCCGTGAATTTCAATTTCACCCATGGCCGCGCGGTAAGTCGAAATTAACCACTTGTCAGACAAATCATCCCTTCGGAAAATTATCAACCTCGACGACCCGGGTGAAGCGGCTCAACAGGTGACATTCTGAAGCATGCCTATAATTAGGTAGACGATCGCATAGTCGCGCCGGCGTAAGTTCCATGCTCTAGCACCGCGTCGGGACCTCATACCTAGTACCTCATATATCTAGTACCTCATACGCTATCTGTAAGTGCGAGAGTACCAACGGGTTCCTCCTCGAAACCCCTCAACCACCTGTTTGTATCACGTCTGTCACCGCCGTCCAGTACCTGATCCGAATCAGCGGCCATCAGTGCCGCCAGATGGGCCGCCGGGGCCGCTCGACCGGCCTTTGTGCCATATTCAGCAATGTTAATAATGGCCTCGGTAAATCAGCGAGGAGGCCGGGAGCCGGGCGCGGCGCCGGCGGTGGCGGCGGCAGCCGGCCGTGTGTGGTCGGGCCGGGCGGCGGATTAGCGCCGCACATCTCCGACAACATTGAATGCGTGCCAGGAGCGGTCGGCAGTGACGGCGCTCCTCTGAACGGCGCCGTTATTTCTGCTGAGGAGGCCTTTTGTCGCGGCCGGCGCGGATCACAGCGGGTCAGTCAGAGGTCGCCGGACTCCGCCGGCCGCTCCGCCGGAGCCGCGCAGCTCGCTTAACACACGTCGGAGTGTCGCGCTGATCCCTGAGACTACCGGCATATGACAGCGCCGAGCCTCAGCTGAAGGCCAGGAGCGACACAATCAGCCACGCACAAAGACACCGGCCCAGCTCCGGGTATTTATTACTGCCAGACTGACTCGGGATTCCCTGACCGCGCCAGTAGAGTGTGAGCCGAACAGGCTCAGTTTACCAAGCTTACCTTTGGTCGACTGTATGTCACAGCCACAGGTCACCTGGACTCATCTACTGACGGCGCGGACTGAGACAGCTCAGAATTGACCCCAACGGCCGTGGCACCTCAGCACCCGGTATGTAGTTAGTTACTAGAGAAGCATGGCGAAAAGACGTAACAGAGTCCAGCAGCCATCCATGTGCTCACTCTATACAGAGAGTTACACCTACCATAGTTTCGGACAAGCCGCATAACTTTCGTATGTATGCAAAGAAACAACTACGGCACTAAGCAGTCACCGCATCGGTCTGCACGAAATAGCTGAAAATATTAAATCACAATGATAGTTGTTCGCAAATGCTTTGATCGTAATTTAGCTTGAGCCGTGCCATCAGAGATCTACTTCAGTTGAAGATCCAGGCTAAGTTAATAAGCGAGTTCGCGGAGCCCGGGTGCCATTGCAGCCTGATCCAACCTCTCTGGGGGCCACTAGCATTAGGACGCCGCCCTGATCCGGCCAGGATTCGCTAAATAAATTTCTCCGAGATCTAACGACAGCACGGGATACAATAACGTCGCCGTCGTTAGTAATCCTTTAATGCCACTTGGCCCAGTAATGGGCATTTATATGAAATGGCCACTTTCTTCTAATGTGCCAAGTACTTGCATCAGGTGGTTCCACACCTGAAAAAAACCTACCCACCGCCCTGCCGTGGGTGTTTTAGAGCCGTGCTGGGGCAGTTGGTCGGGGTTCAGTGGACCAGAGCCGGGCCTCGCCAGCACCCGTCCGACCCGAATGGTGCCAATGTCCGTCCACACGACCCGGCGATATTGCAGCGATGTGACCTTTCCTTATATTGTATCATCTCGACTCTGGGAGCCCAGTAACTTCCAACCGGATTAATTGAACTCGGGCAGCCACCATTTGCATAATTCCGTCTCCCATGGGCGGTATTAGTGGCCAAGTTGTGGCGATATCAACGGCTGTAGCGCAGTGCTAGGGTAATAATAGCCGTGCTTCGTGAAATAGGAAGATTTGATAAAAGGGTGTCTTTAGTTCACGTGGATAGTGAGAATGACATGAAAACGTGCGGCTTAATTGCTCGACTGGACAAAGGCAAGGAAAAAATTCAGTCGTGAACTGAGCAACCGGAACCCAAGTTTTCATCAAAATGATATTACATTTGGCCCATCGATGACCGAACTTAACTTTTCACTTTACTGTCATGATGTAAAGGACAAGCCCTCGTAGATAATCTTACAAACTATTTACTATGAACGCAAAATAAATACTTTATTTACAGCTGATGAAGGCAGCGTACAAAACAATGGCACCTATCCAACGCAGGCCAGTGTCTGATTTTGTCACCGCACCATCAGTTCTCAGCATCATCGAGCGCCGATACACGCCTGGCGCTGGCGACTTTAGGCAGCGACCGCGGGGCCTGCACCGAACGTGCGCCGTTACGAGTCATCTCAGCCTCTATTTGCATCTCAATGGCTTTAACGATCTAAAAGATGGTCGGGACGATAAATTACCGCCAGCATTGTCGGTGAAAATGTGCAGAGACGCCAAACGGATCTCTGAGATCAGACTCGCGATTGTACCAAAACCCACAATGTAGTACCTTAATATTGTACACTTACCAATGTTGAATGTCAACGTAGAAAAACTGCATTCGGCGGTGGTATCATGCTTCAATCTCCTTTATGATATTTTGATAGGGTGCCACCCCCCCCCCCCTCCACACACACGCGCACACTGTTTGGAAAGGGCAGAGGGTAGAAGCCGTTTTCGCCCTGCTCAAAACGCTGATTCCGTCTGAAGGAAAACCTATTGGTTTATTCACCCAATGCTAGCTTACACAAAATCATTTACCCCTAGTGTGATATTGGAGGTCACATGGAGCGGGGCAGGGGCCCACTGACCTACCCTCCCTTAGTGACGTGATGATGTGCGACGAGGCTGGGGGAGCGGGAGGAACCATTGACCTACCCTCGCGCAGTGTGATGATGTGGTAGGAGGCTGTGGGGAGGGAGAGGGGCCCGTTGACCTACCCTCGCGCAGTGTGATGATGTGGTAGGAGGCCTCTCCGGGCGGCGAGGCGCCCATGCCGTTGACGGCCGTCACGCGGAAGCTGTAGGCGGTGAACGGCTGCAGGTTGTGCACGGCGAACGTGGTCCGGTTGTCGGCCGTCAGGATGGGCCGGTCGCTCCAGTCGCCGTCCTCGCCCTTACTGAAACACAGAGGACAATCGGGTCACTCCTGCCTTCTGAGCTGCCCTAAACTGAAAACGCAGCGGGAAATCAGGTCATTCCAGTCACTGTCCTCGCCCTTACTGAAACACAGAGGCACCATTGCCGTCAGGATCGGTAGCTCACTCCGCCGCGGTGGCCCTACTCAGTAGCCACCCTCCCTGAAAGCAGGCACAGACCCGGCCGTCAGAGCAGTACGGTCTGCCTGACGGACCGACCGAGAGACCAACCGAGTGCAGGGCACACAAACAAGGATGTTACCAGAACTTACAATGCTATTTTTCCATGAAAATTTTGAGCCAGCCCGTTCAATCATTTCTAAAATAGACGAGGCATGTAATTCCTGCATATCTTCTGGTTATTGACAATGATGATGGCGGCACTTTTAACCATTCATATCGGGATATCATCACTCATAAATACGACCCTTATATAAAACTGAAGCGTGTCAGGTGCCGGACCGGTTTCTCTCGGTGCCCGCCGGCTGTCGGCGCAGGTCGCCGTGGAGTGGGTAATTTCGCCGGCAGTCAGCTGTTGCTCGCTGGCGGCGGACCATTCAGTCACCAGCCGCCCTCTCCTCGAGTCTCCGTTTATTCAGCGCTCCTCTCAGCCCGGCACAATGGGGCGGCGGCGGCGGCGGCGGCGGCGGCGAGAGAGTCCGACTCGGAGGCACCGTAATTGGTTTGGGTGGAACCAGGCGCCGCCCGGCACCACTGCCGATCGGCCGCAGAGCACCAGTCACCGACCGGCACCATCGCTGACAGACAGTCCGACACACGCTGACAGACAAACAGACGCACTGACAAACTGCTAGGCACACACCATGGCTGACAGACAGACCGACAGTGACGGACAGACATCACTGACAGAAAGACCGGCCGACCCACCCTGACAGTTCTGCACAGTGCACACACTGATAGGCATCGCTGACAGACAGCCCGAGACAGCCATAGATCCGACATTCATAGCCCGACATTCATAAAGCCCTGTGCCTCTTAGACTAGGCAGATGTGCCGTTCCTGCCTTGGATCACCGTCCGGAACGTCATCGAGAACCGAGAGCACTGAGAACGTCTCGAACTCGTCGAATACTATAGCTCCATTCTTTTCGACTATTGATTTGAAAGCATTTTGAGTTTTCTGCATGTTTTTGAGCAAATGCGGAAAATTCTCCTGCCAAATGCGCATGCAAAACCCCAAAATATATCCAAATCAGGTCTGAGCGGACTAACGCGGGTTAAGGATGAAAATAGTAGCTTCTGTAAATGGGAGCATCTGCCCGCGGTGCTGAATAAAGCTTGGCATCACTTTTCCACCACTCGGACAATTAATTCCGGACTTCACTTAGCCGGAACAATGCGCTGTTGTCGCGTAGTCGCTTTGCCGCAGTGAAATATTAGCGTAGATGCCAGCGTTTACATTAGAGGACTTAAGTGAGGAAGGGCAACATTTAGGTGCAAAGGCATATATAATGAGCTGTTCCGAGTGAGTAGCGCGGTGATACGGGTGAGTTATTTATTTCCATAGGAGCTCCACTACTTCAAGACTTTGCTTTACTAGACTTATTTAATATGGCAAGGACGATTCGAAACAGCACGGCTTTTTCGTTTTGTTTTAACGGAGTCAGCTCATTACGTTAAATGGTTTCATATCTATAATATAGCACTACCATGGTTTTTAACCTATTTTTAGCAGGTTCACGTAACATCAAAGTGATTAAGCAGACATATCGGCAAAATTACCCCTCGCCGCAGTGCCGAAATGGGAGGATAACTATAGTTGGAAATTAAAACAAAAGTTGAGGCTGGGGTCTACGAACCGGACAGTGAGACCGCTCAGAGTACGCCAGAGTGATGCGCGGCGCTGCATTGGAGTTACCGCAATTCCGCATAGTTTCCCAGCGCAATTAATTCAAACGGAGGCTGACCGCCGAAGTTGAAGTCCAGGAGGCTCAGGCGACACCGCAGTGAGCGCCGCAAATTGGTGGAAAACGGACCGCTCGGGTGGGCTTTGCATGTATGTGCATAATCGTACGCACTATCTATGCATTTGTGCTTTTCATAATTTGATTTAGCGACACTCAAAAGCCAGGTTTAGCGACACCCAGGCTTAGTGAAGCCTGGGTGTTACCAATACCACAGTTAACAGTAAATTAGCGGAGGCACAGACAGGCTAAGAATAAAAACCACCGGGCCGTTATAGTTCAAAAACATCCGAGCGTTCCTATTCATGAGAACGAAATTATTACATTTCCTGTTACGGGCAATTTCTTAATATTTTTTTTTTTTTACAATCCTTCACTTCCTATCACGTGCATGCGTAAACTACAAGATGTCTATGTTTGCTCTTGCATCGCGCACAAATGCCTGATATGCTCCAGTGGGAGACTACGGCTCGTGTTTTCTGAGCCGGCCACTAGATGTCTCTGCTAACATACGCCTGATACCTAGACTGTGCCGCATCGCTCAAAGTGCCCACAGCGGGCGCGATCGGTCTGTTGTTAGGCCGCCCGGTCAGGCTGGGGAACTTCACTAAGTCACGCGACAGACTGCTGCATTCCGCGTTTTCAATGCATATCGGTTATATTTACTTAGTTTTTTACCCCTTCATTTCTTTTTTCTTTACGTGGTAAACATGTGCAGACCTCCTTAAACTTACCTGTCGATGCATTATGGTCAGGAATATTGAATACGCATTGACTGCGGTTTTTTACGAGTGTCTTACATACTGAACCCCATGGAGGCCTACAGCTCCATCAAATTGCTTGTTTTTATTTCGTGGAATCATTACAATGTATCTATATACTTCAATGCCTATTAGGCATAAGATTTGATCATAGATTGAGTGCCCATTGCTGTATGATAAATACGAAGTAAAAAAGTATGCTTTTCAATTTGCTTCGATTTACACTATCATGAATCATGCAAGCGGACCGTGTCGTTTGACCGTGAGTACGCTGAGTAGTTACCAACTGCAAAACGTCATGCATTGTTTTCAATAAACATTCCCCGGCGTGCAGTGTGAGTACGGGAGTGCGGTCGTATGTCAGCCGACATCACTCCCGGGGGACGACAGTGGTAAGTGGCCTCGTCAGCGTGTGTGAGGAGACCAGACACCGCCACCGGCCCGGGTCACTGGGGCCATGGGCCGGCAGAGAGGGACGGAGAGAGACAGATGGTGACTGCTGATGACGCGACTGTGACTGCGACCCGCCGACATCAGCTTATCCAGCTCATTTGGCACGACTAACTGGGACGGGAGGAGTTGATGCACTGCATATATGCGCTTAATTTCCTGCCGCGCCGCCGCATTGATCTATGGTCGGCCTGTGCGGTCCATCAGCTGTCAGCGGCGGGCCGGGCCGCCCCGGTCGGCCGAGAGCAAACAGACCGGCGGCGGCGGCACTGCGAACTCGGGAGGTGGCTACACAGGACCGGCCACCACCGCGTGAGCACGCTGCTCAGCTCAGCCGCCCCCGAGCGCCGAGCAGCGCCACAGGAAGTCCCGCACGATTATCCCGGCACCGCCCGCGGCAACCGTCAGTCCCACGCAAAACGAACATCACTCGGCCGCCTATATCCTAACGCACTGAGATCTGTCTGTCGCCCGCCGCCCACGCCGCCCATGGTGACTGACATGTGACCTGTTTCTATTACGGCTCTCCGGTGTAACGTGACCCCCAGTCCGACCGGAGGGAGGGGCGGCATTACCGATGTGTCATCGGACCCTCCCACGTGTCCCTGGATCCCGGGATCCCCGGAGCGCCCCATATTGACGGTGACTCGGCCCGGTATACAGATAGACGGATGGCCGCCGAACCGCTCCTGCGGCGGTGCGGAATGATGGCACAAATTGGAAAAGTGATCGATCCCGCAAATCCGTCATCATAGCGCTCACACAACACAGACGCGCCTGCGACGAACAAAAATGTTTGGAAGATATTTTCTGCAGCAAAACAGCAAGCATGCAAAATTTAGTGAGAGATGTTTATATGAGAGGCGACGGCTCCGAATCCGTGGCACTCACCTTTATAGCTAGCTGCTACACTAAAAATGAACTGTTGCTTGGAGGCATATACGAGCCATTCATAACATATTATTTTAGCAACGTTGCATCACATTCCTGTTATTGCTCAACTTCAAACCGCGAAGGTAGCATCCTAAGTTCAGCTTATTTGCCGCATGACTTCTTCCAATAAGTTCTTGAACGACTATCTTACGTCATTAAAATGGCCGGTTCTCCGCTTGGTTAATTGAATTTGGTAAGCGAATACCAATAAAAATAATGTACAGCACTACTTGATAGTCATTGCGTAAACCAGCCGGGCCACTCGCTATCACCGCCAACATGGCTCCCGGCTGGCCTGTGTGCCAGCGATGTCTGACGCAGTGCGCCACAGATCGTCACGCGTCATCCGGCGCGGCGGTGCGCCGGAGTCACCGCGCGTCCCAGCGGCCGCCGTCTCGGGTCCATCAGCGTCGGCCGGGCGCGCTCCATCCCGCCGCCGCTGTCACTGTCTGCCGGGGAGCTGTGCGTGGCACGCCGCCCGGCCCCAAATTAATGGCAGCCGACTCCTCAGGACCAACGTCACAGCGTCACCGGCAGCGCGACAATGGCCGGCGACACTATCTTAGCGAACAAAGCGGCCCCAGCCGCCGCTCGGGGCGTCTGTGCTTCATGGTGGATTGGGGCAGCTCCGATCGCGCCCGCTTCCTCAAACAATTTCAACAGTTGACCACTATTCAACAGTTGCCAAGCTCCTGACGCAGGTGCTGTGCTACTTGATAGATTAAATTAACTTTGAATTTGACCTTACTTCCGACGCTGAAATAAAACATCTATGCGGTCAAATAACTACCAAAATAAAATTTAAAGGTCAAGAAGGCCCAGTGATCAATTAAGTAGTATGTTGCTGTCTACGGTACCTCTCTAAGCGTTGAGAGCTAGTTGAGGTCGGTGGGGAGACCATCCTCTACCACT